ACTCAGTTGTATTACGTTATCGTTCATCCTACTTTGATAAAGAATTGGAGAACGCTACCACGAATGAAAATAATATCTAAACTATTATCAAACCAAATATTTCTGCTCCACTATTCGAAATTATTCTTAAGTAATTAAAAATTATTATTATTAAATTAATCATATTGTGACTCGAAATCAATAAAATAAAATACATTTTATTATTTTCTAGATACATCTATGGTGGAATTGTTAATATTGAAAATATAGATAATAGAACCATCTACGAATTAATTATTTTTGCTAATGAATTGGAACTTAAAGAACTATCAAGAAAATTAGAAAGATATCTTATTGAATCTAAAGCTTCTTGGTTAAAAACTCATTTCTCTTTTGTTTATCATTCAATATTTAATAGAAATGAATTTGAAGGTTTGAAAAAATTTTATAATGATATTATTGTAAAATATCCAAATTTGATTTTTGAATCAGAAGATTTCTCTTCATTTAAAGAAGCAGCATTGGTTTATATTTTGAAAAGAGATGACTTGCAAATGGGAGAAATTAAAATTTGAGATTATGTTATTAAATGGGGAATTGCACAAAATCCTACTTTACCTACTGATTCGAAAGAATGGTCTAAAGAAAATTTCAAGATTTTGAAAATAACTCTACAACAATGTTTACCACTTATTCGATATTTTCATATTTCTAATGAAGATATTTTGGAGAAAGTAAAGCCCTATAAAAAAATTCTCGAAGAACAGCTTTTGGATGACATAATCCTACATTCTATGTCCCCAAATAAACCCGTTAATTCTCTTGTTCTACCAGCAAGAATAATTTCCAATCCTAAATTGCCATCAAGAGGGAATCCATTTTCAACTATAATCAACGAAGAACATGTTGCAGAACTTTCATCATTGGTTAATCGAAAATCGACCACTTATTCTTTAGTAAATATCCCTTATGAATTTCAATTAATTCTTCGAGGAAGTAGAGATGGTTTTCATCCCAAGACATTTTGGAACATGTGTCATGGACATGCTGGTACAATTGTGGTTGTGAAAGTTGCAGGAACTGATGAAATTGTTGGTGGTTATAATCCTTTAGCTTGGGATAATTCAACAAGTGATTTTATGAAAACAAATGATAGTTTCATTTTTTCATTAAAAAATGGGAATATTCAAAATTCAATTCTCAGTCGAGTTAATGATCAAAGTTCAGCTCTACGCTATTCTAATTCTGGTCATCAGAATATTTATGGTCCATGGTTTGGCCTTTATGAATTTGTAATGGAATAAAATGTTTCTGGTTTTACTCAAGTTAAAGAGTGTTCTTGCGATTGGTATCCTAATTCTAATTGTTATGAAAAACCTATTAGAACAACTGATGAAGATTTTTCTATTATTGATTATGAAGTATTTAAGATTATTAAAAATTATTAATTTCGAATTCCAAATTATGAAACGAAATAATATAATTTCATTATTTAATTTTATACATGATATTTTATTTTATATTCTATATTCTATTAAATAAATTATATTTATTAATTAAATAAATTTAAACTTAATAATTATATTTATTTGAGATTACATCGTTTTGAATTTGAATATTTATTCATTTGACTACTAAATTAACTTAAAACGTCATACGCGATAATAGTTATTCGAATAATATATAAATATTATAATTCAGATTATATATTAATTTATGATGAAACAAGTACGTTATAATTCAAAAGTTTTAAAAATAATAAAAATGACCTTTAAATTTTTTTGATAAATTATCTCAAGATTTTTTAGAACTTCTTCTTAATGACAAAAAAGAATATAACGTCATTTTTGAGATCGAAATAAGAAATCGTTTACTACGCACTAAGTTGTCTTACGTTATCGTTCCTTTGATCAAGAATTAGAGAACGAATGAAAATAATATCAAAACTATTATTAAACCAAATATTTCTGCTCCACTATTCGAAATTATTATTATTATTAAATTAATTATATGGTGATCGATATTGATATAATAAAATACATTTTATAGATATATCTACGGTGGAATTGTTGATGTCGAAAATACGGATTACCAAAATCATTTATGAATTAATGGTCAATGCTGATGAAGAACTATCAAGAAAATTAGAAAGTTATCTGAATGAATCTAAAGCTTCTTGATTAAAAACCATGAATTCTTTGTTTATCATTCATTCAATATTTGATAGAAATGAATTTGAAGGTTTGAAAAATTTTATAATGATATTATTATAAAATATCCAGATTTGATTTTTGAATCAGAAGCTTTCCCTTCATTCCAAGAAATAGCATTGGTTTCTATTTTGAAAAGAGTTTGAAAAGAGGTGATTTGGGCATTACGTTATAAATAGGGAATTGCACAAAATTTCACTTTACCTACAAATTTAGAAGAATGGTCTAATGAAAATTTCAAGGCTTTGAAAATAACTCTACTACCACTTATCCAATATTTTCATATTTCTAATGAAGATATTTGAGAGAATGTAAAGCCAACGAAAAAATCCTCGAAGAACAGCTTTGGGATGACATAATCTACCATTCTATGTCCCTAGTTTTGTCAGCAAAAACCTTTTTAACCTGAACTGCCATCAAGGGTGAATGAATCATTTTCAACAGTAATCAATAAAGAGCATGCTGCAGAACTTTCATTATGGATTGATCGAAAATCAACTATTTATTCTTTATCAAATATTCTTAATGAATTTCAATTAATTCTTCGAGGAAGCAAAAACATTTTTGAACATGTGTCATGGACATGTTGGTACAATTGTGGTTGTAAAAGTTGCAGGAAGTGAAGAAATGGTTGGTGATTATAATTCTTTAGCTTGTGATAATTCAACAAGAGGTAGTGATATGGAAACAAACGATAGTTTCATTAAAGAATGGTAATATTCAAATTCAATTCTCAGCCGAGTCATAGATAGTAGGAAAGTTCTATACTATTGGGATTCTAATAATATGAATATTTATGGTGGTAATAGTGAATTTACAATAGTTTTTAATTTTAATTGTCTATTAGAAAAGATTTTCTATTGTTGCAGATTATTACTGTAAGTATTTAAAATTATTAAAAACATTAAAATTCTGACTGTGCAAAGAAATAATATAATTACACGACTTTTATTTTATATTTTATATTACAATGACAAATAAAATCTTTTTATTAAATAAATTTAATCGAAATGACTATATTTATTTATTTAAAATTGAAAATTTTACACCGTTGAGATTATCTCGTCTTGCTATTTGTCATTTTTTATGTTCGTATTATGACGCTTTTTTTCATGTGATATTTATAATAAAAATTTTATATGTAATATAATTAGTTTCGGATTTAGTATCAAGATAATTATTATATTTATGTATGCTATCAACTCCGTAATTTACGATTGTTTCCTATCAAAATAATTTTGTATTTGTAAGCACGTAAAACGATCACGTAACGAAATAAATTAAAACTGTATAAATTTTGGTGGGAAAATTTTTCTTCTTGACTATCCATTTTTTTTTTTTTTTTTTTTACTTTTACCATATCCAATGTTCAAAGAATCATTTAATCAAAGTCCGCCGTCACGGTTTTTCTTTTTTTCAATATTCTTTACGATAATTGTGTTTTTATCCTTTTTCTTCTTTGATCATATTTGTCCTTTTCCCGAATCTGTTATATCGGGAGATCCTTGGTGGAAATATGAAACTTTTGTTGTTTTAGTTACTGTCACGAATAATAATTTTAATATTTCTAATAATAACTATTTGATAAATAATTCAACAATAAAAAATGATTTGATGATGAGAAGTAAATTGATAAAGAAAAGCTTATTAAATAAAAAAAAATATGCAAATATGTATGATTATCAATTTTCTGTTAAAGGAATTAAAGATAAGAAGAGGCCAGAGGTAAATTTTTTATTTATTTTTATCTTAAGTATTTTTCATATATTTATCATATTTTTATTGTAATCAATAGTCATGGGCGAAAATAACAGCTTTATTAGAGACAATGGATGAATTTATTGCTACAGAATGGTTATGGTTCATAAATTCGGTGAGATTTTATTATTATTTTCACTTGTTTTATTTAATTAATAATTTAAATAATTTTTAAATAATTTATTTATTTTAGTCACTTGTTATTTCAAATTCGTCAATACAAATTGTTCAAGTTATTAATAATGTTAAAGAGTCGGATCAAATTATAATAGGATATGATTGTCATGGCCTTAATACGGATTCGTTCTTTATTAGGAATACCAATTGGTCAAGGAAATTTCTTAAAATAGTTTATAATTCAGAACTTTATGAAACTTTGAATCACGATAATAAGGAAGATGAACGAACTGTAATACAAAGGTTGATCGATTTTGAAGGCTACGATATTGCTGATAAAATTAAATTTGTACCTCTTGTAAGCATATTTTATTATATCTAATGTCAATTCAGTATATATTTTACACTATTCACACGAAGAATATAATTTATTTATTTCTTTTAGCGAACATTGAATGCTTTACCTTTAATAAATGATTGCGATAATGATAAAAGATATTCATGGCACAAAGATGATTTTTTATTTAATTTTTCTGGATGTGATACGATGGGTGATACAAATACAAAGGAAAACTGTAAAGATATACTTGGAAACATTTGATGAATTTTATATTGTATTGTAACCCAAAAATTGTTTCTGTTTAACGTGACATGTAAACTCATGAAGTTTTTTTTTATAATTTACTTATTAAAATAAGATAATCATACATGCATGCGTGAATTTACTGTACTATCACTTGATATATATATAAACCTAAATTAGAATAGTTCATACGCATATATATATAAATGAAAAAAAAAAAGAGGAAAATTTAAAAATAAAAAAATGTCCTCATCGGAATTTTATGAAATTTTAGCGAAAGATTTGTTAAAGTTGCTCGAAGAATATCAAGACCATGATATGACAATTATAGTTGGAGAAGAACCAAATACCAAAACTTTTTATGTTCATTCAAATATACTTCGTGTTAGATCCAATTATTTTAAAACTTTTTTGTCAACAAATTGGATTCGTAGAGAAGATGATAAGATACGTTTTTCAAAACCAAATATTGATCCTGAAGTTTTTGCTATTATTTTAGAGTAAATATTTACAGTTTATATTTATATATTATTTACAATTTATTTTATTTATATATTATTATATATTATAAATTATTTTTATAATATTTATTATATAATATTTATATATTTGCGTGTTAATAATAATACAATATATTATAATATAATATATAAAATATATATAATATGTATTATTTAATATTCTTTATTTTACTTATTTTTATTTTATTTATTTATTTATTTATTTATTTTAGATATATTTACGGAGGAAAGATTGAATTTCAAGAAGATTTAGATCCATTAATTATATTTGATTGTATTAAAGCAGCGGATGAATTAGGAATTTTAGAATTTCTTTTTTATTCACAAAATTATTTATTAAATCATAAGATTGCTTGGTTAAATCAAAATTTGGTATTAATTTATCGAGATAGTTTTGGATTAGATTCGATGAGAGAGTTACAAGAATTTAGTGTTGATCGAATTAAGAAATATCCATATTTATTATTTGATTCAGAATATTTTCATACGATAAGCGAACAAGCGTTAATCACAATAATTAAAGATGATAAATTAGAAATGGAAGAAATAGAAATTTGGAATAAATTAATAAAATGGGGAATCGCCAATACATCATCAAATAATAATAATAATACATCTACATCAAATAATAATAATAATAATTATAATAATATTTCGGTAGAATATTATTCAGAATTAGGAATAACCTTGAAGAATTGTATTAAACATATTAGATTTCATAATATGAATATAAATGAAATTGTTAACAATGTTTTACAATATAAAGAAGTTCTTGGTACAGAATATGATAATATTCTTGAATATTTTCCTAATATTAATAATAATATCGATAATATCAATAATATCAATAATATCAATGACATCAATAATATCAATAACTCATATACATCAAAAGGATCAAAGGAGGAGTCAACGAATAAACGCAAAACGACCATGAAAAAGAAATTACCAAATAGAGGAGCAGCGATATCAACAATAATGAGTTCAGGTGATGCAGCCATAATTGCCAGTTGGATTGATCGTAAAGATATATTTAATAATCAAGAAGGAAATACTGAAAATAATAATAATGAATTTAATGAGAATAGAAATAATAATAATAATAATATAAATAATAATAATAATAATAATAATATAAATAATAATATAAATAATAATATAAATAATAATGGTAATAGAGAACATAGTGAAAATAATGAACATGAACATCTGTTTAAACCATATTCTCGATCAGAGATTCCTTATGAATTTAAATTATTAGTGAGAGGAAGTAAGGATGGATTTAGTGTTAAAAAATTTCATTCTAAATGTGATGGAAAGAGAAGTACAATATCTTTATTTAAACTTCAAGATTATGATATATTTGTGGGAGGTTATAATCCTGATGTTTGGCATAATACTTTATGGCCTCAATATAAAAAAAATGATAAGGCATTTATATTTTCGTTTACTCAAGGAAATAATGCGAATAATAATAATAATAATAATAATAATAATAATAATAATAATAATAATAATAATAATAATAATAATAATAATAATA